TAAGTGAAAGTGAGTATGGGGGGGCCAAACGAGAAACCCCTCGCTCTCAGTTTTCATCCTCATTTAAGGAGCTGGCAGCAGTGAAAGAGAGGAAAAGACGAAGAATTACAGCCACACTCATTCATACAGCTTCTGTCTGTGAACTTCATCATCATCATCACTGCTGCTTCTGAACACAGAGGTACGCCTTTCTCTTTTATTCATTAAAAGCAACACTGAATTGAGAAAAATAAGAATATAATAATATAATATAATATAATATAATAAATGCATTTACTTTTACTTATTTATTATTATTTTTTTATTATTATTAATTTTTTTACATATCTTTTTCCTCCACAAAACTGTTGTTTTTCTCTGTGAATTGAGGTCAGGACTGCCTTGATAGACGTTCACCGTCCAGAAGAGAAGCACAGATAATCAGATTAGAACATTTTGTTCGAAGTGTGCTTTCTTGCGCTGATGTTTTATTTTCTCTCTTTTGTAGTTCTGTCTATCACTGTTAAATGTAGAACAGTGTTGCTCTTAATAGTTGCACTCCCAGCACAGTGGAGCTGCATTGCAGATACATGTGAGATGCGCTTATGAAGAGAAATCTGAACCATGACAAAGTCATTAATACTGTGAGAATCAGCCTCTCGTTTCTCCAGCAGCTCTGTTCAGCGAGCGATTCCTCAGTGAATCACATTCGGTTCAGACACTGCTGTTTGTGCAGGAGCTCTGCTCATTAATCATGTGTGAATGTGGCTCACTTCTCAGAGACTGACCCAGTGAAATGCTCTGGATGCACGTTTATGTTTATTTTAGCACATATGGGTCATTGAATACACTTATGCTGAGGCCTTATCAAAGTGGAGATAAACACCAGGAAAGTCTGCTAGTTCACTTGCTTTGGTCCGGACCAAAAACAATGTTGATTTGTGGAGAGTGGAAGCTGAAGCGCGCTTCAGGACATCTGTGGAAACAAATTAAATATGCCGTCATTTTTGCTCATAAAGGTAATAATAATGCATCGTTCGGAACTATAAAGGGTCTATTTTTATTTGTGTGCACTCACAATATCAAGAAAACATTGTGCTTTTGTAAAATAAAGAAAACAAATAGGATGCGCTTGCCGTCTCGGTCTTGAGCAGGAGCGCTTCACAAAAATTAACCGAAACTCAGCGAATGTTTTCCTTACAGACATGATGAATATATCTATAGAAAGCTTTAAATGACTACAAAACGAAATAATTCAAATCCTAAACAAAAACTCACATTATTATGTAATCCGTAAAGATGCATTTCTTTCTTAAGGCGCGTCCAATGATGAGATGGCGAGTCAGGATCATCAACTTCATAGCGACACTGACACATAAAACACTAGTTTACTAATAAATAATTATAAAATAATCTCCTTACTATTTTCCCCCAACATAGTCTTGCGGCAAGCTTTAGCCTATTTAGCACGCTCACGTCACGTTGCTGTGCGCCATGGTCACGAAAACTCATCATTTGCATGTGTTTTTAAGCACTGTGGTTTAAAAACAAGCGATTTAAGCCATTGAAATGCAAATAACAGCACTATATGCGCGAGCTGTCTGTTTCTGAGCGTGATTTCTGCAATTGGGTCGGATCGAGGTCGGGTCATAATCACACCTTAAACGAACTGTACCAGAGTTCATTTGGAAGCGGACCGAGACCACCTCTTCAGCTGGGTCTCGGTACGGTTGTTTGGTCCGCACCGAGTGCGATTGCTGTATTCACACTTGCCAAAGAGGTCCACACCAAGAGGGGAAACGAACTTGAGTTCGATTCAATCGAACCAAACATGACAAGTGTGAATACACCCAAAGAGTTTTGGGTAAATTGTTTTCTTGTTCAGAATACTCTGTAATTCTGCATAGTACAAGCATGATGTTGTATATGTTAATTTGTATACTGTATGTATGTGTCCATATGTGCCCACATATTTACACATTCAATAATAATTGAATAATTTTCTTAATAACATGCTGCAGTGTTTATTAATGCTGTTCTGCTCTGTTATACCACTGAGTGAATCTCATAAGACCATGCCGGTTTCAAAATTAGGCCTCATTTTAGGACTTCTTGTTCTTTTTGCATTGTGACATTATTTTCATGACAATTAAGCATATTTAAAGTTTGCATTACTATTTGTTTATTATATTATTATAAGGCAGATATATTATCAAAATGGTATAATCTTATTCTAGATAATTATAAGCATGTTTACATTAAATATTTGTTGTACTGTCTTTATTTATATTGTATTACAGTCATTTTAATGTAAAATTTGTATCATAGTACAGTAAAAATTATTTTAAATTGATTTAACATTTAGATTTTTTCAAAATATATTTGTAATACATTTGTAATTGCAAAGTTTAATATTGAAGAACAGACAGTTACTTTTGTATTTTAAAAATATATATTTGTAATACATTTGTAATTGTAAAGTTTAATATTGAAGAACAGTCAGTTACTTTTGTATTTAAAAAATTTGAAATAAATGATTAAATCAGCCTTAATGAGAATCTAAAAAATAATTGATGTGTTTTTAAAATAATTACATTCATTTTTGCTGACTTTTTGCCTCTATTGGTTTTTTTCAGTGATTTATACAATCATTGCATGAAAAATGACTATTACCTTAATGAGAATTGAATGAGAATAATCATTAAGAATAACGGGAATCACACACACACACACACACACACACACACAAACTCAAAAGTAAAATGAGACATTACTGGCTGTAATGAGACATTACTGTAATGAGACTTTATTAAAAAAACTTTTAATTGTCATAAAAAACAATGCAAAAAAAAAAACGTTATGGTTCTTAAACATGCTTTATTTTCTATGTTCAAAATAGAACTGTTTTTTTTTTCTTTCATTATGAGGTCAAATGTAACCTGAACGTGTTTTCATAAGATTTTCTTGCCATTTTTTGAGGCTTATTTTATAATAGACAGCATACAGCATCTTGATTTTTTTACTGAGCACTAGAGCAAAACTCAAAAATGTTCAAAGGTTTTTCTAAAATAGTAAGCAAGCAGCACCACTTGTGTGTGTGTGTGTGTGTGTGTGTGTGTGTGTGTGTGTGTGTGTGTGTGTGTTTTGCAGCTTTGATTCAAGTCCTGTGAGGATGTTTATCATGGCCTACATTCCCTTTGACTGAAAGGCAGCAGTCTGGGGAGCTGAAGTGTTTTAGTCACTGCCTCCTGTAAGACCGTGTGCAGAGAATGAGGACGGATATTTGAAAACTCACAGTTCGTTAATCTTAAATTACTTTTTTAAATTATGCTCCATCCTGAGGCAAAGCAGATGATCACTTCAGGCCACACACACATACACATGTCCTCTGCGGGGAAAAAAGGAGTGCGCTTAATTGCATTGAATAGTGTACTTCAAATCTGTACTTGTACTGAAATAAATGGTTGCTTAAGTGTACTTAAAAGAGAGTACACTTTCATGACTGCCTCTTATCACATTTTTAAAAAGTGCCCTTTGTAATAATGTCAAATTAAAAGTTTGACCTTAAACTACATTTTAAACCATTATGTTTTAATAATATTTGTTATATTTTAAAGAAGCACACTTATTTTGATGTGTTGACTAATACACGAATGCACATGTAATGTACTTGATTATAATTTCAACTGTAGTTTTTTTATTACATTTAAATAAATGTAATAAAAATAGTATTTGTTATTACATTTAAAGTTAACACATTTTAAATGTACTAAATTGCAATAAAATGTGTAGTTACAAATATAATACATCACATACAAGGTTCAATAGAAATATTTCAATAGATATATTTAGTTGGGCGTAAATGCTTGCCAGTACATGCAACAGCACACTTTAACAGTATTTCAAAGACAATAGAAGTAATTATGAAATTACACGATGTATTTAAAATCACTCTTAAGTTCAGCTGATTGCATTTAATATAAAAGTCAACTATAATACATTTCCATTTCATTACAAATAACATGCATTTAAGAGTCCAAAAACATTAAATTCAGTGTAATATTTCCTAATAAATTCTCATGTAAAAATTGCTCAAGTCTATTTCACTTTCACAAGGGATGCCATATGTCTCTGAGCCAAAGCATTCAAGTGTGAAGTACTTGCTGTAAAACATATTCTCATTTTCTGGCATGCACACATTTGTGCCGTCCAGCATTTCTCTTGGCATTGCGCTGCCTCAGCATACTGTCCATATGGGAGACTTATACCAAAATACACCAAATTCCTGACAATTTAGCTTACATGTACATTTTACTGACCCCTAAATGCATTTGGACACTTAAGAAGTATATGTCAAAGAGGACAACTGCTGTGGGGAAAAGAACTGTGGGTAATATGAAGGCAGTGCAAGGAGGACAAGAAAGAGAGGTGCTTATGAATCACCCTGCCGTCTCTTTCTCAGAGTTATGGGCGCTTCACAGAGCACAAGGGCTGATAATAGATTGTGTGACTTCACATTACTCTAGGGTCAGCGGTCACAGGAAGAGGAAATGACAGCTAATCAAACACACGGCCTCATTCACTGCACTTCACACACACTCATGGCAGTAATCACACACTCATTACTTCAGCAGAACACATCACTGAGCGCCTTTATTATCTCTCCTCTGAGAGGCAGCGCTCCGGTCATTCTGTCAAACAGGGTGGATGCAACAAAGTTGAGTTTAATTGGAGATTGCAAGGTGACAAAGCAACTCTTAGGGAATTTAATTCTGATATTTCTATATATCCACTTTTTAATGTTCATTTGTTTACTGTACAAAATCATGGTAACAGGGTTGACATTTTATGACATTTTATGACGTGTGCTGAAAGAGTTATTGAAAGAGTAATGATGTCATGTCAGCAAATTATGGAAAAAATATTAGTATTTTTTTTCTTCATAATATATGGTACCATATACGGTAACAGGTTTAACAGTAACCCAGAACTGCTTTATTTAATTTTTTTATTTTTATTTTAACTCTACTCGCTACTGTTGAAAGTTTGGGGTCAGTACAATTTTTCTTTTATGTTTTTGAAAGAATTCTCTTACCAAGGCTGCATTTATTTTATTTAAAAAAAAATTAAAAACAGTAAAATTTAGAAATATTATTACAATTCAAAATAACAGCTTTCTATTTGAATATATTTAAAATGTAATTTATTCCTGTGATAAAAGCTGTATTTTCAGCATCATTACTCCAGTCTTCAGAGTCACATGATCTTCAGAAATCATTCTAATATGCTGATTTGCTGCTCAAGAAACATTTCTGATTATTATCAATGTTGGAAACAGTTGTGCTGCTTAAGATTTTGTGCACACCATGATACATTTTCGTCCAGGAGTCTTTGATTAACAGAAGGTTCAAAATAATAACATTTATTTTAAAATATATTTTGTAACATTATAAATGTTTCTACTCTCACCGTTTGATGCATCTTTGCTGAATAAAATTATTTAATATTTATTTAATATTTTAAATTATTAATTAAAAACAAATCTGACCACAAATTTGGAAAGGTAGATATTAAAAACGCTAGACTTTCTTTGCAATATTTTTTATTATCATTGGCCAGGAAACCTTGCAAAAACAGACATCATCATCACGATGAAAGAAAAAAAACATTTATAATAAATCTACTGGATTTATTTGTACATTTACGTGTTTAGAAAAATGTCTGCATTGACAACATGTCTGTAAAAGTCAACATTATCTATACATTGTTCATTTTTTTGCATATGTACCTCACTGTTTTGTACAATTTGTGGCATTGGCAGCCATAATGACATCGCTAGGATATGTCATAAGTTTCCAAGCATGACATAAGCACATTTTCCCCTCAATTGTTCCTTAGAAACAAAGTGGATAATGAATAAATTATATGTAATTCTGAAACCTACTGCTGTGCTGTCCAGTCAGTCAATAATGACTAAACAGACTATTATGACATCCTGAGGAAACTGTTTCAGACCGTCTCACTTAATGAGAACAAACTCAAATGAGCTTTATAACTAAGCACATATTTAAAAACTAGTGCTTATTAAACATGGAAATTAAGTAGACGATGTGCTTTTATAGATGAAGTTAATTCATACTGAAGGCAGTGTTTGTGTGAGGGGATGTTATCTGTTTTATTCAGCTGAAGGATCATCTGTTCACAGGTTAATTGAATTTCATCTGAGGTCAGATGTTTGTTTTAACCGGCTGTAATGTTTCTGTTTGACAGTTAGTCGTGTTGTGTTCCTGCAGGCGATGGCTGAGGTGGAGCTGCTCTCCACACCCCGTGATACTGAGATCAGCGATGTGACCTGCGACTCGTTCCGGGTCAGCTGGGAAATGTCCCATGAGGACGCGTCCCGGGTGACGCATTACTTCATCGACCTGAGCCGTAAAGAGGGCAGCCAGCACAACCGCTTCAAGCACAGAGTCAGTATCCGCGGTCATTCACACAGGAGAAAATACAGCCCTGATTCGCTGTCAGTGGAATTTGTCAACTTATTATGAACTTATTATAGGGACAATCCTCTCAGAGCAATCTGGGGTTAAACAAGGATGCAATAGTGAGGGTGATGATTGACTACTGACTGATTAGGCTACTGGTGATTGACAGCACTGGGCCCTGTTGACTTTCATTGTCAGAAAAATAATAAACTATTACTTTTAATAAACAATTTAAGTAGATTTTTGATAAGCAATTGAACCCAGAACACTTAAGGTATTTTTTTTTTTTCAGTAAAACAAATGATTGTTCAGGAGGTAGTCAAATTGACTGTAGCTAATTGGATTCAGTACAAACCACTGATCTATATATAATGTTCTCTATTATAGATCAGTGTGGTACAATCACACTATGAAAAACAAAAACAAACAATAAATCAACAAACAATAAATGCATTTTATGCCATGCATCTGAACCCTGAACATGTTTTGTCAAAAATTGTCCACTTTTGAGGCATCGCGAGTTCACGTTTTACTGCAGAAGCCGACACGCGCCCTTGTTGTTTAAAAGTGATCGAGGATGGATAATTTCGACGAACTTGATGAACCTTTGATATCTTCTTCAGGGCGAAAAAGGAAAATAAAAGCTGAAATGTTTTCACGGAACCTTGCAGAAGCAGCGCGTTACAATGATGAGGGAAAAGTTCTGTGTATTGCGTGTAATCACATCCATACAGTTTCAGCAAAGGATAAATGGATTTAGTAGCTCTGCTACTAAATTTATTTAAAGGGGTCATATGATGCGATTTCAAGTTTTCCTTTTAAAAAAGCATCATATGACCCCTTTAAAAATGGCTATCCCTGTACAGCTATGATCAGCTGTTCCTTCATCTTGACTGAGCTTTCAATGTTGTTACGGGAAAGGATGAAGCTGATTGGTTGGTTCTTGTCACATGACCCCCGCGGTGCACTTGCGGCATTCTGAAAAGTTTAAATGTTTTCATCTGGATGCGGCGCAGAAGCGCCTGGAAAAAATGAGCGCGTCGTGACCGCGTTGATTCCATTATGAGCGCGTCTGCCGCGCGTCTTCATTTGAAATAACGAACTTGAGCGCGCAAAAAACGTGATATGTGAATGGCCCCTAATTCAGTTTAGACCGTTTCCAAGAATGTTTAGCGTCCCCGTTATGAAAATGATCGCTGAGACGGTGGCGGAGTGAACGAGGCTTGAGAGAGTTGTGAGTGAGTGAGGGCGCGGGCGCAGCCTATTATAAGCGTTTTGGACTTGTCTTTTCCACTTAATATAACACTTTAGAAAGTTAATAAAGTAGGAAGTTGATAGTCTTTAGAGTCAGCGATATCTTTATCTTATCCTTTTTTGCAAAAGATTGGAAATAATTTAGATTTATTTTTATTTGTTTGTTTTTGTATCAATATCTGGCAACACTGCATCACCGGTGTTTTGACCTTAAGCCTCGTACACACCGGGACGATTATCGCGCGCGCTTATCGTTTTTCGACGTGTCTTTTGTGTTCATACCCTAGCAATTTTTGCAGGCGATGAGCCGAGTGAATGTGCAAATTCACTCCCTGACATTAGATGGCGCTTAATGAAAAACAGAAATACCCCGGTACCCATCGAATCCTATTTGATCTGCAATTCCTCTCCATAACAACTCCCTTTTATCGAGATTTTTGTAGTCGCTGTCGCGTTTGTCATTAAGCCCTTTGTGTTCAGACACCAATGAGACCAGCAGCTCTACATTCATCTTGCCTCTATGCATCTTCTTGGTCTACTTACTTCCTCTTCGTCGTTAGGTATCAATGTGTGCTCGGCAAGACCGTTTTGTGCTTGAGGGCCACCAAGCCGTGTTTTACTGTAACTTCAGCAGCTCCAGGCACGTGAACAAAAGCGCCAATCTCATTGGTCGGCCAATTTTTAACACGGCGCGTTAAACCAAAAAAACGAGCCCGAGGCGTTTTTTAAAAAACGACGCTTTTACACCTTGCGTTTTGCGCGTCGGTGTGCACACTCACATTGGCGCCCTATATGATTTATTTATTGATTTATGTATGATATATGATTTATATATTTATTTAGAATTCCAGCTAATTAGATTTCATGTAGCACTTCAATCGATCAGTCATGGAAGTCTGATTTGTTGATAACTTTTGACAACATTTAATCCAGGTGCGAAAATAATTCATTTCTAGCGCAAGAGCACGGAGAGATTTGCGAGTGCAAAGCGTCCGGTTTAGTGTGAGAGCAAAGGCAATCCACGTGCGAGCAGAGAGATTCGCGCTAGCGCATCATAGCAATGTACTTTCGCGCTACAACAGTGCGCTCTCGACATTTGACAGTAAAATAACACCATACATTTTACCAAAGATCTGGCATTTCTGTAACATGTTTGCCAAATTTTAAATGGAAACGCAAAGTCCATATGCAAGTGCATTTCCAATGTCTTACTAGCTAAGATTTTGTCATTTTGGAATAGCAATCAAAAAAATAACACATTTGCTATTCAGTTTTCTGTGTCCTGCTCCAACCCTTACAAAATTCTAATGGAATCGCAAGTGCTTTTGTCCTTTGACAGTCAACTGTCAATCAGTCTAGAGGGTTTATTGATATAGTCAGATAGTATGCCACGCCCCCTACTGGTGGAAAACAAAGCATTGTTAATTGCTTTCCTCCATCGCTATGAGGAAAATGGGGAATTTGGCAATTTTTGCAATAAAAAAGCATCCATATTTATTTTATCATTATTATTATTATTTTTCCAAAAATAAATAAATAAATACAAAATAAAATAAAAATAAAAAAATAAACAAAAGAAGCAAAATTTTTTTTTTTAAATGACGCTTTTACGCCTCGTGTTTTGCACGTCGGTGTGCACACTCACATTGGCGCCCATTGTTTAGTCACGAGGCGTTAAACGTCGCTTAAACTGAAAGTAATCAAAAAAGCCCATGGACAGGTTTTTGCTGACAGCAGGATAGGACATTCGGTAATGGAAACGAAAAAATTATCATGATATTATCTGTTATAAACGTTATCAAAAACAGTAGCATTTAACACTAGTACACACAGATCTGTAGAACAAGTAGGTTACAGAATGAAATGAAATACGCAAAAACTAGCCATGAAGAAGTCTACGCTGTCATTCAGTATAGTTACATTTTCACAAATCATGCTATAAACTTGCATAAAAGCACTAGACAAAGCTATTGTAGTTATGTATTGTTGCAATAAACAACTGATAAAATTATCCACTCTTAAATATAGTAAAGTATTAACACATTTTTTAACAAATGATTTAACACCAACCCGGACCTCACTAATTTTCAAAGTCTGGGTACGGCCATGACAACAACAACAACAATATTTGTCAGGCATCTACATTGTCATCTGAGGAGATTACAAAGAATAAACCAGTGTTTTTTTAAACTCTCAAACATGAAATGTGGCGTTATCTGCTTTTGCTATAAACAAACTTTTAATATATATAAAAAAAACATACTGTCAATGAACTTTAATTTTGTAAGTGCACTGCAAACTGCAGTTTGATTGATATTACTTGGAATGCACAATAAAAAAACATGATTCCTGAAAATAAATACAAAATGCAATTATCTGTTTTTGCACATAATAAACTATATATATATATATATATATATATATAAATGTAAAAGTACTGAACAACTATTTGTTTTAATTTTTTTTTTTTTTTTACAAATTATGAATTTTATAAACAATTTTTATGGAGGGGGTCAAATTGACGCTAATCCGATTCAGTACAATTAACCAAAAGTCACACTATGAAAAACAAAAAGAATCAATAAATGTTAAAACAGTTCAATTTTAACATTAATACTACACAAAATATATGTTTTAAAACGGCATATAACTTAATAACTGCATATATCTAATAGTATTTTTTTTTAATTAATTTAGTTTTCACAAATTATGAATTTTATAAAAAAGTATTGTAAATATTTTTAACGGGGTCAGATTTGACAGTAATTGGATTCAGTACAGTTCACCAAAAGTCACACTATGAAAAACTAACAAATAAACAAACGCACAAACATAAATGAATAAATTAAAATTAAGGTTACAATGGCACAATTTTAACATTAATACTTATACTCACACATGTAAACAATTATTTGTATTTTTTTCAATTATGAATATTATAAATAGTACTGTAACTATTTCTTTTAACAAAATAAGTAGAGCGTGGTGCTCGCAACGTCATGATAATGGGTTCGGTTCTTAGCAAAAGATAACATGATGAACTATTAAAAATGTCTTCAACGCAGTGTAAAACATCATAATCCTAATATAAATTTAATATGAGTATTGAAACTGCAGGCATGTTCATGACACAAAATGAGGAAAAGTCACAGAACTTCAAGAAAAACATCATAGATTAACCAGTATTTCCAACAACTCTAAAATCTATGCTAGTCAAATTGACCTGCAGTGTAATATCAGGGTTAAGATCTGTTTTCACGTTATATTTCTTTAAGCTGAACATGAGTAAAGGTGAAATAAAGCAGGTGCTGGAGAGGCAGATGGCAGGGCTGATATGGGTGGTAGGTGTGTTGGTAATGAGCACATCTGACAGCCCTTCAGGGCTACGGTGATGCTCACGTCACTTCTAATACAGGAGCACCAGAAACTTGACCAAAACTGCTGTGAGCGGATAATGACTCACCATAAACCCCCCAATCCCAGGCCAAGCACCCCTTTAAAAGCATGTATAGAACTAGGATATTGCTTTGAAAAAAACTCTTATTTAGTACCCTAGTAATTTGGGGCATCATGCATTTATTTATTTAGTTAATTAGTTAATAGCAGTCCTCGCCAATTGCACATGAAAATCTTTTTATCTAAAGTAATGGTTTCTCCAATCCCTGGCCAACCACTGCTTTAAAAAAATCAATCAAATTAGGATATTGTTTTGCAAAAATTTTATTTAGTACACTAATAATTTGGGGCATCATGCACCTATTGTTTATTTGTTTTTATTCTTTTTAAAAAATTTTCAGTAAAAAGTTCACGCCACCTGGACACTAAAGTCCACAACAGTGTTTAAAAAAATAGCCAAACAATTAAAAAAATGAATAAAGCAAACCAAAAAGAAAAGTAAAATTAGGATATTGTTTCGCATAAATAAATAAATAAATAATTACTAGTAATTTGTGGCATCATGCACCTGTTTGTTTATTTTTGAGTAGGAGTCCTCACCATCTGCACATGAAAATCTTCAACTATTTTATTTTATTTTATTATTTTGAGTCCTCACCACTTACACATGAAAATTTAGATACTGCTTTGCAAAAAATATATACATTTAGTACACTAGTATTTTGGTCATCATGCACCTGTTTTTTAAATTAATTTATTTTTTATTCCAAAGACAAATGCTATTATTTGTACAGAGATTGTATTTTTTACATTCGTAAACCCTCCCAAACCAATCCAAAACAGACTGCCTATTATAGATAATAATAATAATAATAATAATAATAATGATAAAAGAAAATTAAAATAAAACAAAGATGCGATATTTGAATAATGCCAACAAAAAAAGTAATTGGATACAATCAGGTATAATACGGTGTCATTTCACCTATTTTATATTTTATTGTTATTTTTTTTTATTTATTTATGTTTTACAATTTGTATTTCTTTATTTTTGAACAGTAGTACATATACAAAATTTAGATATTGCTTTGCAAAAAATACAAATTTAGTACACTAGTAATTTTGGGCATCATACACGTATTTTTTATTTGTCTTTTTTTTTTAGTTTATTTCTTTTTGAGTATTCCTCGCCATTTACACATGAAAATCTGCAGCAGTGTTTAAAATATATATATATATTTTTAAATCTAAAATAACTGTAACTTAATTATCAAAAATCCAACTAATTGACTTGAATGTCCATTCAAAGTCTGCTTGACTGAAAAATCCAAAACACCTGCGAGACTTAATTGTCAATTTAGTGCACTATTTAGTAAGTGTTAGGAGGACACTGATGAGATAATCAGAGCTGAATAAATTGTGTTGAGTTTTTAAATTCTTCCTGACAAAATGAAGCTATAATGTAGGAGTATTACCAGTATCTCTTCTGCACTCATTGGCTGCCAAAGATAATACAGGCATGAACTGCTGCTAAATTACATCTGATTTTGCCACGGCTCTAATATTGCATTTGCGGGTGAATGGAAAGGACTTGCTGAGGGGGTTGCTATGGTTACGCCCATCTGAGCATTTCATAATTGGTTATGCTTGTGCCTCCACAACAAGACTAATTAGCTGTGATCGAGCTCTTATATGTGGGAGGAAATACTTTACGCTTAGTGAAGTTTGAAAATGTCTTTCACCTCTCAGAAAGAAGATTCGTCAAACAGATAACAGGCGTAAGATTACTGCACTGGATGATACAGATGCGGATGTTATCTGCTCAGAAATCATATTGTCTCACTGATTAGGCTGCATGCACAATTATCAGGCAATTAGTGTTTCCCATGATTCGTTTTACTGGTAAACTGTTATCATCACAAACTTGATTTTATAACACTATAAATACATTATTAGACATATACTATAGATTAAATTAAATTGATTGCATTGCGGTCTATATAGTTTTATATTCACTTCTTATGTCTCTTTCAGTATGATTTGGTACAGTACTGTTGTTCTACTGTATATTGTGCTTTATAAATCAATTGATTTGATTTGATTAAACTATATACAACAAATAAATAATATTTTGGCCAGTATAAAGATACTTCTTTTAAATAACTCTCATATATACATTTTTCAGTCTTTGGTTGGTTCTTCTTCGTCTTCTTTTTTTAAATTTACAGTTTTCAGTCAACTCAAAAAAATCTAGCTAGCCTGTTATTTTATTATATTATACTATTATAATATGTATTATATAATGCTATGAATTAGCTTTTATTTTTATATTTCAGTTTTATTTCAAATATATCACAATTTTTAATATTTGAATGTGCTTTTGTCATTTTTATTACTTTTTGTTTTTTAACATTTCTATTTAGCTTTAATTTATTTTATAACAAATTTAGCTTTTGAACTTAAATAAACTTTTAGTTAGTTATTAAGGCGACATTTAAAATTTTTATTGAAGTTTTTTTTTAAAGTTTAAGTTTCTTCTAATACTCATATTTAATTAATTTAATTTCAGCTTTATTTCAATAAAAAAGGCATGACCTGATCTGGCTCCCATGTAGAGTCCATCAAATACCATTCATAAAACCTTTGAGTTTTTTTTCTTTAATTAATTTTTTTCGGAAATTTCTGCAGTGCAAATTTCAGTTTCAATCAGATCTCTCTTCTTTGGTCCATTTAAAAACTATATACAAAAATGCTGGAATACACTACATGACTTTTCAAATCTGAACAGTTTTTAAAACACTAGGCTTGAGGATCACACACTACCATACTTTATACCCAACTTGTAGGGGTTTAACAAACAAAAAAAGGTCAAGTATTGTAAATGGTTGGTTGTTCTCTTGAAGGCCGAACACAAACCCTTTAAGCCAACAATCAACTATCAGCGCCCTCTGGTGTTTGGCTTTTCAGGATGTCCCCACCAAGCTAGTGGCAAAAGCAGGACCTCTGCCAATGGCTGTGAGAGGCCACTGGTTCCTGAGCCCTCGAACAGAGTACTGTGTGGCTGTTCAGACCGCCATCAGACAGCCGGACGGAGACTATCAGGTGTCTGAATGGAGCCAAGTAGTGGAGTTCTGCACTGGAGGTAAGCAGAGACAGAGTAACAGAGATTTAAATGTATTTTCAGTGTTAAAATCATTCCTCCTGTGCCAGCTTAATATGCAAAGACAACTGACAAAAAGATTTTCAAAGAAAAGGGGTAAACACTGTGACTCTGTGGCTCTATCAAATCATTGGTCTGTTTGTTTAAGCAGCCCAACACAGCAACAGGCTCAACCAATGGTGTGAGTTTGAGGGAGGGGCTAGTTTTTTTCCCAACCAATAACAAACAGGAGGACTATTTGGGGAAACCTGTTCGGAAACAACCATCATTTCTGCACTTGGCACAAAAATGACACACTACAGCACTCTGTATGAAGTGTCATGATTATCTTCTTCATGATATTCTTCAAGACACAAATTTGCCATTGAATACTAATGCTAAAAAAATCTTGAACGAATGGCTTACGTATCGTTGACTGTGCATATTATGCGCAGATAGAAGACAACCAATTTGGACATGTTCTTTTTTCTTGCCTTCAATGTCATAAGTGCTCTATAGAAAGCACTTGTGTTTTATGTTCAATAGTGATGGTTTTAAATGGGTTCTTTTCTGCAGATTATGCCATGGAGCATCTCCAGCAGCTGTTAGATAAAGCTCAGGCTGCTGCTGGGAGGCTGCTCAGGTTCTCCGTCTTCTACCGCAATCAGAGTCCTGAATACTTCCATTATGTCAGGTTAGTGTCATCTGTCATCCTCAGTCTCTCTGCTGCTTCTACATATATCCTTCCTTGACAGCTCTAAGACTGCAGCGTCCGATTTATCTGCTGTGTGTTTTTGTGATTTGAGAATGCTAGTGAACTTGATATGAAATCAAAACAGACTCTATCTCCTTCATTCATGTTCCTTGTCTCACTTCGTGTAATTCTTCATTGCATGTTATTGCAAAAGTAAAAATGTTAGTCTTTATAATATTACATCAAAATATAATTAATATCTCGGCATGCATTTTCAGAAAAGCTGGAGCAATTAAAGCGGCAGATGACCTCTTTACTCATTAATTTAGACATTAATTATCGGAATAGATATCGTTATAGTTATTGTCATTTCTTTGAAGAGGTCTTTAAACCAAGCCTCGTCCTTCATTTTTTAATGTTGAATATCCTGTGTTCATCACATTTCAGAAGTAAAATGAGTTGCAAATACCACTTATGAAAAAATGGAAGTAGTGACCGGTATTTTCATCTGTATTGTGACGTACAAAAAATAGCAGGTTCAGTAACCTGGTTCTATGCACTGGTTGTTGGTCAGATGAAGGCAGATCTCAATGCAAGCTTGCAGTCAAATGTAAGGAAAGGGACAGGATTTAAGTGGCCTAAATTATTGGAGAAGTCCAGCATACACCACCAGAGAGAGGTTTGGAGCCTCAGAGGAAGATTGATTCAAATGAGTAAGGTTAAACAAATAAAACATGCATTGATGATTTGTTCATTTAGAAGATGAATTGCCTTTTAAAGGGGTCATATGATGCGATTTTAAGTTTTCCTTTCTCTTTGG